ATTAATTCGTATTAATTAGAATATTAAGATAATATTAGTTCTAAGCTGAAGAGCGAAGACAACCGACGAGGGAACTTAGTTTTTTATAGGTTTAGGCTCAAGAAAGAAGTCATCCGCCGAGGGATTTTAGTACCGATAGTTTTATATTAGATAGTTAAGATTTAAGTTATTTATAAGGTTTATTGTGAAAGGTGGGAAGATGTAGAACTTGTGATTCCATCTACCTGCCTTGGGCCTCCACTGGCAGCAACCTCCTCGTGGTGAGGCCTGGGCAATCGGTATTATCATCGGTAAAGTAAACTGAAGATAATATCGAGCTTTATTTATAGTTCTATATTATATAGAACTAGGATTATTTTAGAAATCGATATGAGATTCAAAGTGTAAAAATGTCTAGTACTTTGAATGTTTTAGATTCGAGATAAAGATGTATGGAAGTACCGAAAATTATTTTAGATTCCTTTTCCTTATTCTGTAAACTGCTGGAAGTATGGACATTTTCACAGGACAATGATATAAATGGAACTTTAACACTTTTTTAAGTGTTACAGTGATATTTCGTTGGCCTCCGTATTAGCGCACTGCGCCGAACGCGGATAGCATGATGTTGTAATCGCAAGGGAGCAATTGAATCGAATAGACGTATTGTACCGTAGCGCATCGTATTGTATTTCAAACTTTTATATCATTATAATTTATATGTATATATATATATTCCAATAAACATACGCCAGGTAATATAAGCTTAATTTCATCGAATTGTCTTAAATATAACTGCATAAATATTGTACAATCCTATACTAATTATAGTTGTCTGGTTCAACAGGTTACTACAGAAACTAACTACTGCCTACGTCTTTTAAACTTGGGCTGTAGTAGTATCTGCAGAAACTGCCATGGTTGCTGGGGTTACTATATAATTTGCTCACGGAAGCAGGCACAAGTGTCAGTCAGATTTGGACAGTTGCACGAGTAACATTAGACCGAGCTTGAGACTCGTACGAGCAACAGCGATAAAAGATCACGTTACAAAACTCTTGCACATGCTCCGGGGGTTCTATGACCCCACGCTCCACCACACGGGGTCTCTGGCGCCCTCTGCGGGAGTTCTATGACCCCACGCTCTCACCACACTAGGTCTCTGGCGCCTCCACCCGGGGTTCTATGACCCCATGTTATCCCGTCGCAGGGTCCTGGCGCCTCCACTGGGGATTCTATGACCCCACGCTCTCACCACACGGGGCCTCTGGCGCCCTCTGCGGGAGTTCTGTGACCCTACGTTCCACCACACGGGGTCTCTGGCGCCTCCACCGGGGGTGCTATGACAGCACCTTTTCACAAACACGGGATCTGTTACGTATACTACGGCGGTTCTATGACCACACTTTCTCAAACACGTGGGGTCTCGTACGTTATTCCGGGGGCAAAAAATTACATTGCATGTTAGATCTATTCTTATATCTTGTCTGTGGTCATCTGTGGTATAGACTATACCCGGTATAGTCTATACCACCAGTATACCGTATAGTCGGTATAGTATACGATGATTCACAGTTTGAGCAAAAGTAAAAAATAGGCAATAACATGATTTTCTAATTGTACTCTACAGAAACGTAAAAAAATACCAACCGTTCACAGTTGTTCATTGGTACAGATGTAAATATCTACTGTTACATGCGATTTTAAAAAACATTACCTATACTTAGTTAATGCAGTTTGATTCGCTGCGTAAAGAGCACGTTTCTGAAATATTGCATTATTTCCACTGCAACTATATATACTGCGCTTTGTTTAATAACTTTTTCGTGTTGAGCACGCATTCTGTCAGAATCAACAAATACAACAATATCGTTGTTGATCTAATGTGTAATGTAGCAAAATGTTTCTACCTCAAGTCAAATGTATCTTAAGGAAACGACTATCCACTTAGTGAGTAATGTTTACACATTTAGTTTCGTTTTAGTTATTCTTAAAGTTGTTTACTGTATGAAATTCAGTATGTAATACTTTCAATTCAAAATATGTATGGGAGAAAAATTTGCTTATGCTACAGTTTTCTAAGTCATCATAGAAGTCAACTTTGTAATACATGCTTCAAAAGGATCCAGGGGTATACAAGTACATTTTACTGTTCGAACTATGGCCATGAGAAAGTAAGATATAGCATGAATACTCATAGTTTCATAGTAGTTGCTTTATTTAATTAATCAATCAATATTTTTACTCAAACTAAACATTCCTTCCTCATAGTCACATAATAAAAACGACAATGTGGGATTCGATTACTTCAAAAAGGTAAATAGAGTAAATATATATTATTCAGAATAATATAAAAAGATTATCAATGTGTTAATAAAATAATAAAATTATACTAATAGGCAGATGCTGGTAATCTTGAAGGAACAACATTTGGTGATACTAAAATTCCAAAAGAACGTAAGGCAAAATAATCTCTAATTTTATTGTAACCTTGTTTTTTAACAGTTTCTTTACTTTATTCATTTTAGGTATGGAAAAGTTATTTAAAGACCCTATAGTCACACTTAATAATATTTACGGTATTGTGAATAATGAACTGGGTAAACAGTGCTTATCTTATCGTTATCAAACAAATAAATCGTCCAATGTAATGCACAAATGTGACATCAATATCTTGTGGCCTGTGGAAATGTCATTTTCTCACGTGGCATCAAATAAGAAAGCAGCTGCAATTCATGCCGCAAAGCATTGTTTGACTTGGTTATACAATAATAAAAAACTTACAGGATCTAAACCACTACTATATACTAAAACAGAAATTGCCTCTTCAATAGCAGACTGTGTCAGAATAGACCTTGATTCAATAGTGAAAGATGAAATTGATAATCTGATAGATGTATATAATAATGTATGTGTATAAGTAGCAAAAGAACATATATGTATACATCCATACATATAACTTAGTATAAATATGTTCTACAAAAAACAGTACTTTTAGGAGGTGAAATCGATTGTAGCTGTATCATCCACTACCCATAATGAAATTTGTTCAGAAAACTTGGTCTTGCGTGAAAATGTGTCCTTCAGTGAAGAACAATCAGAGGATTATACTTCTCGTAACACCGTGTTAGCTGAAAGACTTCAATACAGGGAGAAATGCACTAAAAATTTGCCGATAATGGACTACAAGTGTGTATTATAAAATTACATATAACTGAATTAATTTTAAATTACTTAAAAAAAATCTTTCCAGGTCACAGATCCTTGAGAGTATAGAGAACAATCAGGTTCTCTTAATCAAAGGTGATACTGGCTGTGGAAAAAGTACTCAAGTTCCACAATTTATAATAGATGCATATACGGAGCAAGGTAAAGCAAACGAATGTAATATACTTGTGTCAGAACCGCGAAGAGTTTCAGCTCTGTCTCTGGCTAAACGCGTTGCCAAGGAAAGAGGAGAACAAGTAGGCGATGTGGTAGGCTATCACGTACGATTTAGCAGTAAATTACCACAGACGGCTGGTTCAATATTATTTTGTACAACTGGTATATTTTTACGGAGGATACAAAGTAATCCAACTTTAAATGGTGTGTCACATGTAATCATAGATGAAGCTCATGAGAGAACATTGGAAATCGACATAATGCTAAATCTATTGAAAAAACTGTTGATCACTAAACCATCTTTAAAAATTATAATTATGTCGGCAACTTTGAATGCGGAAATATTTGCGCAGTACTTTTCGTGCTCAGTTGTTGACGTTCCTGGAAGAATATATCCTGTAAAAATGCACTTTCTGGAGGACATTGAATTGTTTCGATCTAATTTACAACTAGAAAAGGATTTACAGGAATCGTACACTCCTTATTCGAAAGTAGTGCAACTAATAATGTGGATTACCAGATACAAACCATCTGGTAGCATATTATGCTTTTTAACAGGTTGGCAAGAAATTCAAGAAGTTCTGTTTTTGTTAGAAAAGTATAATAATCCTAATCTGCTTATATTACCGTTTCATTCCAAACTGGAAAATTATGAGCAACTGAAGGTTTTTCGATCTGTTCCTGACAATGTGCGGAAAATTATATTAGCTACAGATATCGGTGAAAGTAGCATCACTATTCCAGATGTTAAGTATGTCGTAGATAGTGCACGTAAAAAAGAAGTAATTTGGAAAGAAAAGACAGGTTCATACAGTGTTGTCACTTGTTGGGTGTCACAGGCAAATATTTCTCAAAGGTAATTCTAATATTACATATTTGTGATGAACAACAAATGAATTAAAAGTGCCTTTGTTAATATTTAGAAAAGGGAGAGCTGGACGTGTTACATCTGGAGAGAGTTATCATTTCTTAACAAAACAGATGTACGATAAATTACAGTTATATCCGGTGCCAGCTATACATAGAATATCGTTAGACCAGGCAGTTGTCACGAGTAAAGTATTCAGTGACGAGAAAATAGAGGATTTCTTTGCCAATATGATTGAAGCACCCAACGAAAAATCGTTGTCCCGTGCGGTTGAAGATTTGCAGAATCTTAATATTCTCGATGAAAATGAAAATCTCACACCTTTAGGAAAACGTATACTGCACTTTACAGAAGATGTTAGACTAAGTAGAGCGTTGATATTTTCTTATATCTTCCAGTACGTACATGGCTGTATAAATTTTTCGTATATCATATTCCCTGCCATTAACAAGTTTCGTCTGTTTTTTTAGATGTCTGAATCCTGTTTTATCGATACTAACAGTTTTTGGTAGAGATGATGAGACGGGTGTTGCATCGTTAATCGAGAATTCGGTGAAAAGGAGACGGAAACTTATGTACCACGATTCAAGCGATCACATCGCTCTGCTGCAAATTTATAGGCAATTAAAATTTGATTGTGTTGATGTAATGAATAGGGACAAGAAGAAATGGCGAAATTTGCAAAATATAGCAAGTAAGATTGTCAGGTGTTTGTGATGGTGGCGTGCTTTTTGCGACGATATAACCATGTATTATTTATTTACAGAAATACGCGAACTACGTGTAGGCGAGCTTATCGATAGTGGTTTGATCTCCGAAGTAGCTGATTGTCAGGTTGCAGATGAACACAGTAATCATAAAGAATTGATTCGAGCTGTTTTATTTTCGGGTACTAATCGGCTACTAAAGAGGACACCATGCGGATATAGAAATGGATACTTTTCAAAAACATCAAGTACAATATGGTCCGAGTAAGTATAAGAAGTATTGCGAAATCACTGTTAATATAATATAAAAGAAGTGTTATTTTTCAGAAACTATGAAAAGATGATTTTAGCATCAGAAAGTGTGAATCACAAGAGGAAAGATTGGCCAAGTTCGTTTTTAACGTATATCTCCCGATGCGAGCACAGTGACTCTCGCATATACATGGCGTCTGATTCAAGTTTAATTTCACCATTGACGGTACTGTTATTTAGCCAAACGGACGTTGTATGTGACAAGGTAAAGTGATTTTTACACATTTTGTCTACATATGATATTTAACGAACATTAACAACTACTGTATTTATAGAACAAGGAAAGCTCTTTTAATGACGAAGACAATGTTCTTATTACCATAAAAAACTTGCGGCATGCGAAATTCTCTTGCGATGGAAGGTTCGTACTTTATGCATATACTATGTAAATACTTGTAGCGTTTACTTCATACTGTGTTTCTTTTCCAGGACTGCAAACTCATTATTAGAACTCCGAAAGATCTTATGGGATACTGTGTATTATATAATTCAATTCGAGGGCGCAAAGGATCACGCAACGAATTTACAATCTGTTAAATTGTACAAAGAGAAATTGTTGCATTTAATCATAAAAATGATAGAGAAATCAGCGAATGGCATAGATAGTTCCGTTAAAAATAATACTTTAGAAGAATCGACGTCAGTAAACTAATAGATGTAATAAATCGCTAGAAATTATTTATATTAACTACATTTACATACACTGTTTTGTTTTCTTTTATTTTAAAACCGTTATGAAGCACAAGATCCTCTATTTTCCGTTCAATGATTTTGCTAAAGTACCACATGTCTACATAAACATTGAAAGATATATCATAATTATCTATATAAATTTATCAATAAAAGCATGACGTTATATTTACGTGACTTTGTAAGTACTTGCTTTACAGTAAAAAGTTTACTTTCCTTATAAATACATATCGGACGGTTGTTTATAAGTCTCTTACACGTATACGCGCGCGCACATGATCACAGTATAATGATGTACACAATAACGATACATCTCTAAGTAGGCAACGTACAATAGAGTTTAATATATTTTTCGATAAAAATTGTTTTGTCCATAGCTTAGTCCCTCGAATCCCTACCAACACCAAACACAATTCCCTCTGATGGGAGAGAATATCGGAAAGCTCATTCTCGATCCCAAATTAGAAAATACCCGTCATTCGTCGGAAGAGTATCCATATACACTTTTTCTTTTTTACAAAGAGAAGTACAGAACCAGTCAGTGAATTGTACTGTATCGGTCACTAATACATATATCTGAATCCATTCGTAAGGTTTTTCTATTCATTGTACATGCGTACAATTGCTAAACCGATTTTCGTTTCAACCGCACAAAAATATGACAATCGATCCGCCGTTTGTTATTTGCAGTCATAACACGTAAGTTCATTTATGGTAAACATATATACCTATTCTTCCGTAAAAATACTTCATTTCCTATTTATACAGTATCATATTCTACTAATGCGTTATAAAAATTCAATATATTAAAATATATCTTATACATACATTTGGCAGGTACATCGAAGCGTGCGCTTCCGGTATAGAAACAATTATCTTGTTAAAAAATAGGCACGAATTTAATAAATTATCGTAACAACCGTAAGTATATATTAGACTATAAATTAAAATAACATACGGTATAAATAAAAGGTGATAGTATTGATTTGTGTCGTCAGTAAAATAGCCGCAGTTAACTTTATTTTACTGGGTGTATAGTATAAATATCGTTCCGTTCGAGTGAATGGTTAACAAGAGAAACAACAACAACAACAACAACATAAAAGTATTAATAACAGCGATAACGAACGTAAAATCTTAATGTTGTTCTTTGAGATGCTTTAACATTGAATCAACTTGTAAGAGTGGATAATTAAAAACCGTTGGTACGTTTACGAATGCGTGTTCAACATTTATCTGTTTCTTTTAATCCGACAGAGACACGCACTTAACTTTCGTTTTCAGTCGATCGATGAAATTTGAATTCTGTATCAAATATACTGACTGTGGTTGTTACATTTTGTTATTACACTTTTATCGTTCGTAATATATATGAACATACTATGCATATGTACATATATGTACATACATACATAGTAGTATTTCCGCGGATAATTACTGTACCGACTAGCGATTAATCCTAATTGCCGCGTTTTTAACATTTCTACGATTTGTCGAGAAGGATATCGGTATGTATACCCATTAACAATCTGTTACCGCGGCTCTCTTTACAAAGTAATATTGCACTTCCGGCCATTTCATAAAGTTAAGCTAGATCCTATGATGGCAATTTTCAAGCAACGTCGGCTCTAAGTATGCAAATACTGTCCTATGTTTACAATCATAGCTGTTTTCGCACTGTAAATTTCCATGATTCGAGATACGAGACTTGTATACATGAATCTAATTGTTTCACATAACAGGGGAATAGATACTATAGTTTTAAACGATTAGTTGACATTACTATCATAGTTGCAGCTGCAAGATTAATAAGTAAGCAAAGTACAGCTGGTTATATTTACCCGCTTGTCGAACTTGTAAACGCGTGACGTTTGAAACATTATTAACTAGACTAAAAATGAATTGTGTAACTGTTAACGTACTGGCCACAATCGTCTCAACGGACAGGATGAGGAATGTTTGACGTAATCTACGCACATCGATGGCAATTTAGTTTTGATTTTCATACGATTCGGGAATGCATACGGTAATCATATGTATGTTTGTATGATCATCGAATGCGTAGATATTACAAGTATACACATTTTATACACATATGTAAATACATAATATCTACCAAGGATTTCTGACGTCCGAAGTAGGAAACTTGAAAAAGAAGTGGAAGCATGAAAATGTAGTCTAGGAAGAACGCAGCGTTATCTATATGCGCGTATACTTAACAATATAATTGCCATCGTGATGTTCACCGCGGAGTTGTACGCACATACATACATACTTAAACTAAATTGGCTTCCTGGTTGATTCTCGCGGTGGAAGAACGGTGACGAAACTCTCAGTCTCGCTATCGCTGGTACTAAAGTTTGTCCTCTCGAAAGCCACGTTTTCGTTTCGCTTGTTCGAGCTGGCTTCAACACCGGAGTTTAGACTCCTCGAGAAGCCCGAGAACTCCGGGAAACTGCGAAAGTTTCCAAAGAACACGCTATCTGTGCCTACGCTCTCAGCACCGCTCTCGCTGGCACCGTCGCAGACGGATTCGGTCTCGTCTGTTTCCGAGACGCTGCTCGCTTCGTGTCTAAGCAAACGTTTGTGCGAGCCGTTGCTGTCTGTGCTGCTCAGGTATCCGCTGTCTTCGACTTTCATCTGCGGCCGACGATTGACGGGTAAACGACCCGTATAGTTTGTCGACTCGCAACTCTTCGAAAGTCTATTCGAATGTTTACGATGGCAAGATTGCGGCACCGCCGCCTCTTCGTTTCTTCTTTGTCCACCTGGCCGGGAGTCGTCAAACATCGTATCTTTCACACTAGACGCGCGTAGATGACAGTCATCCAGAGACCTGTTCCTGCCTCTCGGACAGCGAGCGTTGTTCCAACAGACGGGAAACTGCTGCTCAATACAATTTCCGGAATTCCTTCGAAACTGCGACGCTACTTGGTGAAAATTCTTTTTCGACGCATCCGCCGATGACTGGTGTTTACACTCGATCGTTAGTGCTTCTTCGGATCGTACCGGAAGCTTCAAGACGCCAGAGTCGGTAGTCCCTACATTGACATGGTCACTGGGGACAGGAGTACCGTCGCTGGTCGTAGGGTCACCCGCTTCGGCAGGACTCCCGTCCCAGACGTTTTTTGACAGAGACGAGTTCGACGATTGCATCGCATCGTTAACACGCCGCGGTGGTTTTGGATGCTGATAGATCTCTTCCGTAGGCGGTAACGGTACCACGTCCGGATGGTTGTTCGGTTGACGTTGCCTCTTTGCTTGTCTCGTGCCGGGCGTCAGGCATTTGATCTTCTTCCAGGGCACAGTGTTGTCTAACTGGTTATTCGTCGTTGTCGACGACGACTCGATACAACTGATCGAATTGGAATCAACTGCATTGGATTTCAGTCTGGCTTCGTAGATCTCGCGAAGGCTACCGTAACCGCGTTGCGAACAGGAGTCGTTTTTCGCGGAGTCTTGATCACGAAAACTGCCTTTGCTTTTCAGCAATATTTGAGCAGGCCTTTCGAGAGAGTCTACGTACACCTCGTTCGGAACATCCTTTTCGTAGTTCACGTCGTCGTTGATCTTCAACTTCATCGGTTTTCGGTCGAGCGTATCGGGCTCGTATTCCGATTCGTCTTGTTTCACGTAATTCTCCGGGGAATCTTGCACTTTAATGGTCAAATGACCAGGGTTTTCCGGTTCGTACTGAATTTCGGGACCGGACTCCTCGCTGCAGGCCGGGCTGTCGTAGCCGTCGTTCACGTAGACCTCGCTAACCAAAGAATAGCTCTCGAATCTTTGCGAGGAGATCAGCTCCGGCAGAGTGTTATAATAATTTCTCTCGAGCACGTCTTTGTTCAAATTGGGCACCATTATCATCATTTCGCCTGTTTTAGTATCGATCACGGCGTTCTGCATCGTCAATTCTTCGTCCATCGGCAGAGCGGTGGAGAGAGCAGGACTCGACTGATCGGTGGATTCCGGCGAAGTTGAGGATTTTCGACTGGTCTTGGACCGTTCTAAACTGTCCATCTCGTAGTCCGTCGCATTTGCCGATCTCGAGTGATGTTCGAGTACCTTCGCATCGAGCATCTCGCGGATCACAGCATCCATGATACGTTTCGCTGTATTCTTCCCGTTGGGGAGCTCGTTGATCATGTCCGGCAGCTCCTTTTTCGTTGAGTTCTTCGTTGGATTCTTCGTTGGATTCTTCGTTGGGCTTGAATTTTCTGGGGTCGATGTTGTCTTTGCTCGTCCTCGCGACGAATTCTCTTCGGTTGTTGTCTTCGTCGATTTCTTGGTCTCCTTGAGCTCGGGCGCGGCAACGTTGTTCGTTTCTTTGCTCCGTCGTTTCTCGGCAGTTTCCTTCTCCACAACAGCGTTTTCCTCCATTTGTTCGATGAACGAGTTCTCGATAGTTCTCCTCACTTTTGCGTTTATCGTCTCATCGCCATTGAATGCGCTCGTGGCGTCTTCGTTTCGTCGGGCGCAGTAACGAAACTCGTCGAACATAGACTTGGCGGACCGAACGGAGTGACTGCGTCGATCGTTGCTCTCGAGAATCTCGCTTCTTGTCCCGCCGTTCTGGAAGCCTTTCGATATCGGTAATCTATCCTTCCACGAGGCCAACGTTTTCCCAGTTACATCTCCCACGATCGGATCGAAGTCGTCGCGTTTGTTCAGTTCCTTCGAGTGCTCGACGTTGTTGGGGAACGTGGCTGCTGGGGAAACTGACTCGTGGTAGGCCCGTCGAGTATCTTCCGCGTCACGCCAGCGTCGTTGCGGTGGCGCACTGACGTCTTCCAACCACGCTCTGACCTTGCTCTCGCCGGGATTCGGCTGATCGGTTTCCGGCAGGGCAGACGTGTTTCCGAAAGAATCGGTGCAGCCGGGGCATCCGGTGCATCGCTGAGACTTCCGTGATTTCGCGATCGACCCGTGAACCGAACTCGAGGACGATCGTTGCCGATTCTTGCCCGTCGAGTCGCACCGCTCCGAACCGTTCTCCTCTTCCGGTATACCTGAATCGTGAACAGAATCGTGATCGATCGAAGGAAAAACGAATTCGCGTATTCAGCAATACTTCCGTGTTAGCTTTTGGAAAAGAACGAACGAACGATCGATCGACTCACCGATGAGGGTAGGGACGAATCTCTTGGCGACCATTTTGTGTTTCGCGATAGAGATCACCTCCCGGATCTTGAGGAGGAACTCGATCGCTGCCGGAGGCGGAGCCTAGCAAAATACCAGGCTACAATTAAATGATTTATCTATCTTTGAGTCTCCATTGCTGGCCGTGAATCGGTAATCAACTTACCAACAACAGTTGCCTATCGAAGTAGGCAGGATTGAAGTATAACTTTCTCCTTTGAACGCCGGGCAATACCGGGATATCCTGCCCGTGGTGATTGTCCGCGGTTTCCACGACTCGAACATCCTCTTCCGGTAATCTTTCGCCCAGAATCGACCCGGACCCGAAACAAAGTTCCGACTGTTCCAAATAAAGGCAGTGGGGATGAACGATCGCCGCCGTTACCTGATTACACGGAAACGTTATTCCCTTCTTAATCGATGCAAGTGGATCTCTCGTTAACTATTCGTCGAGAAAGGAAACCATAAATACGCGAAAGTGAAATTAACAGGGCAAGCCCGACTCGACGAGATCGGATGTCGATACTAATTACAATTTACGACACGGCCACGCTCTCCGAGCGTCTCGATTTGCAGCGAAAGGGAGTTTCCCCGTTACCTATAGGTATCATACGTATCAATGAACTTTTATTAGAGGGGAGGGTAGAATTCAATCGAAATCTACGTGTGATATTATTACTCGCGTGATACTACGCGATAACCGCGTACATTTTCGAAACCTTGTTCACCGTCGCTAGCCGGAAGATCGTCGCCGAGATCGCTTTCCGTTAGGCCACTGTTCGTGTCGCTCTCGAAGTGTCTCGAAGCGGCGAGCAACGGGTTACTCTTGATCAATCCACTCGGTTCTCGGCCAGGTGTTAGGCTTATTTCCGGCTCTTCTTCGAGGATCTTCCTCTTGGTCTTCTTGCTATGGAGGTAGAGTGACACGCTCGCGACGTAGATCAGGGCCAAGATCACGGACGAGAGACCGATGGCCGTATATTCCGTGGTAGACAGCCCCCGAGAGAGTTGCGACGTTGATGAGAACATCACTTCTCGAACGCCTGAACGGGAGAATCGCAAGGAGACGAATGCACTTTCGGTATCTTCGCCCGAAGCGAATAGGAAAGATATGCTTACTGCTTTTGGAGGGTGAACCGGCCACTCTGAACGCAACGCACGGCGCAAACACACCGGGATACTTGGATTTTGCCGAGGCGTCTCTGCAGACCAATTTCGCCGTAACCACACGACCTTCGGCGGCTTCCTTCAGGCCAGCTTCGCCGATCCACTGGAACGAAATGTCGTTTAGAGGATTAAGAAAATCTACGCTGCCATTCTCGTTTGGCATCCGGCCGTAATCGATTGCTATCCCTTTTTATATTATACAAACGTACACTTTTATGGATCGTCCCGTGATCTTGAATGTCACGTGAACGATACAACCGAGAGATCGTATACGGTACTCAAAAGGGGAACGCGAATATCTCGTTACCCATTAATTCTGTTTCGTTCGAGCATTAAATTTTATTCGTATTCGCGTACCATCTTCGAACGTTTCCTCGAACGGCACCCTTCAAACTCCCTTATTAGCATTGCGTCAGCGTTTTTACAAGTAGCAGGAGCAATTTCCGACGTTTTTCGTCGTTCGTACCCGTCCGAAGAGACCGTTCCACGTTAAATTACGACACGTCCTGTAACTTAAGTGTCTGTATTTTATACAGAGATTAATACTGTCGCCGAGATAACTGTTACAAGATGCTGTACTCGCGAACGGACAGTTGTCGTGTACCAAAAGAATGCCACGAATAAAACGAGTCGCGCGTGGAATGAGAGGTATTTTTTAAGGAGACACCGAAAAAATAGCGGCGCCGGTAGCTGCCTCGAATTATGACAATTGCAGTTGCTATTGCGATCTTTCCCGCCGATTTATGTAACTGGACGTATGGGTGGTTGGTCGAGCTCGATTTCTCCCGTCGCAATCAAAAAAGCCACAAGGGCGCATCATTATGATTGACTTTTTCGTTCGGTTCGCTCACAAAAGCAGAACCCTCGGCTAATTGTAATATTGCCCGACCCGACAGCCTGATAACATATTTATATACATATATATATACATATATACATACATATACGTATGAATAATACCGGTGCACATTACCAACCTGTAGAAACGTCCTTCCTTCGTCACGAAACAGTCTGAACGGTAGCTCGGTGTTGGAAAGGTTCCTTAAATCCGACCATCCCGCTCGGCCTAATTGCTGCGCGCCAGTGATTCCGCAGACCGGAGTCGTCACACCTTTGTCGAAAGTGCAGAAACATTACTTCGAGCGACAGCGTGTCAACCGCCAGGAAATAATACATCGTGCGTTGACAGACGCGCGAATCGAGGGATGAACGGGCCCATGAAAACGAAGGAAGTACTGACCTTCGAAGCGAATCTCCGCATGAGGATAGATGATTTGGCCACGTTGAGGCAAGAACACGTACGGTACCCTTTCCACTTGACCTGTGTTGCTCACGAAACCCGCGACGTTGCACTCTAAAAAGGTATCGAGTAAAGCATTCGATCATTCGTATTTTGAAAATCTAACATCCAGCACCTAACCCTCGAACCATCGATTCTCGAAATGCAATTGGGAAAGTAAAAAATGTCTCGACCTTGAAACGTCTATTTGTTAATAATTCTATTCGATGGTTAATCGTCAGCTCGAACGATCAAAGTTCGGATCCAAATTTTCTCGAATCCAACGAGCTTTCGAGATGCACCGTGTTCTCGCGAGGAAACATAAATTAAGGCGTTTCCATTCCCCGTTGCAATTTCGCTCCTTTTTTGACTGACAATTTCGTGTATTCGAGGGACAGCTTGTAATTTCCGGGCAACTATCGCTCCGAGTGATCGCGATGGGCTGCAATTATACAGTTCATCGCGGGAAGACGAGGAGGTCCGCACGAAACTGGTATCGCCTGCGCGGCGTGGTCGAAACGCCTTCAGGAAAGACGCTTCCTTTGATCGAAAAGTACATACACTCGAGACGAGACACGCGGGCATTCCGTCAACGTGAAATCTTTCTGCGTTCGAATATTTATTTTAAGCAGCGTATCCACGTACAGGACCGTTTCTAATTTTCGTTTAGGCTTCGAAAAGGGGGCCGTTTCCCAAAGACGAACATTTCACGGATTACGAGTTTGATATTCGACCATTTCTGGGGAATCGTTGAAAAACACGTCGTCTAATTCGTAATTAACAGTCGATGACCGGTCGGGAAGGAGAAAGCCGATCGTAAAAATGTTAATGGTAGGTACTCCCCATCAATAACAGCGGGGCCGGTTTCGTCAGGTTTAATCCGGCCTGATCCCTGAAATTCATCGCGATTCATTTGGTTAGAACGTCTCGCTCGGACGTAGTTTCTCGTCAAAATAACTGGACAACATCAAACGGATGTAACCGGTGTTGATTTTAATAAACGAAAATAGGAAAAGAAAAAGATACCCATAAACTCAGGCATGTATTTCGAACGAAGTGAACCGTAATAAAAGTTTTGTCTCGCAGGGATATAAAACAGCGAATAACTCCCGAGCCACAAAATCTATCCGGAATCTCACGATTGAATGAATCATCGTGCATTCGCCGTATTCGAACGGCGCTGTGGATTCCTTTTCCGGAGACGGATCTAGGGAGAGTAACGATGTTTCTCGTTGTGGGTCTGGGTCATCGGATGCAACCAAAGCAGCTGTTCTGTGTATATGCAAATCGCTGCAGAGTCTCGGGATGCACGAAGAAACTGCGAACAACGTCGAGGGGGGATCGACGAGACATATGTGACGGGCAACGTGGAAGGCTAGGGTACAATGGAAGTTAATGCGTTCGGTTGTTATTCAAGAGTTGCAAAACACCGTGACTCGGTTCCACCTGATCCACGTATAATACACGGAGTCTATAATTTTCACTTCGAGATTAAATTCATCAGCGTATCCGATAAACGAATACAGAGATGGACAGAATTTTATTGAAATAATACACGATGAGAAGCAGAAGTATTTAAGATCGTCATCAGGACCTTCAAACGGTTCATGAGATCAAATAATTATTTACCAAGTGTCTACTCGTTCAAGAAGAAATATTATTTTATTATAAAAATTCGAATTGCCAAATGATGAAGTATTTTTTTTTCATCTTTTATTCGTTATTCGAAACTTGTTATTCGGATAATAAATTTGCCCATCTCTGAACGAATATAATAAATTCACGGCCCAAAGGTCTCGGCGAAGCGACGCGAAGAGCGAAACCATTAGGAGGAGTTTCCGATGCGCTGGCAGCATTACCCGCAAAAGGAGCTTCTCGCTGGGATGTTAACCAACCGCAGACTCCTCGTTACGTCTAACCGAATGTACTTTCGCGCAAATTCTACCTTGCCCCGAGCTGTTTCCCCACGGAAACCAGTGTTAGGCTGAACGTAGCTTTTTCTTTCGGACTTACGCGCAAGTGGATGGAAGCGCAAGTCGAGTCAAGTTGCGGTGCTTTGAACTAAATTTTAATCATTCCTCGTACGCATTATACGCGTATTCAATGTCTTATTGTATTCAAATGCATCGAGAAGGTAGCGTCTGGATTGCACCGACGACATTGCACACTGCATCGAGCAATTAACAGCGGGTTTCGATGAATCTAGACGACCGGGGTCTTGACCTTGGACCGCTAAATATGCAAATTAGGTCGATGGCATTTTCTCTTTTGGTAGCCACGGTCGTCTTGTAAGAAACCCGCGTACCTTGCAGGAGGACAGTCGAAAGATCTACGAGACTCCCATGAGCTTTCTCCGTAAAGGAATATGATGCCCCACTAAAGTAGAATCGGGTCAACGGGCGAAGTTTTTAATCCTTTGCCATACGATTTCTTTCACTACTTCACTCTCAAGAAGTACTATATCGTTAATATTTTTCCAGATACAAAAGGAATTCTATTCTTATGGATAATGTTACATTTATTCGAAACCTTAAATGTTAATACCAACGGAACACGAAAAGAAAACGAATAATATACATGTTTACAAAATTCAGTTTAAAATCGTTATCACGTGTCTGACTCGATGTTGTAAGGAATGTAAGGCAAGGGGTTAAAGTTCCGCTCGCAGAGAGTGTCTCTTCAGGACTCGCAACTGTTTCGTTTCAAATTCGATCAGCATCGTTCAAACACGTGTCATGCAAACGGCTTTTCCTTCGTACATTCGAACACGTACGCGTAAGTATAGGATCGTTCCTCGTTCCTCCGGCTGTTACTCTTATCTCGTCCTAACACTTCACCCTAACTCCTCGTATAAATACGACATTAGATAATCTTAATATTCGGCTTCGCGCGATTAAGCGTGATGTACGCTCGTTAGGAGGATGTTGCCTATGCCGTATGAGAGGGTATTCGCGGTAAATCTCTTCACTTTCTGGCACATTTTCTGAAATTTATCGATCTATTAAGCAATGAAAATCAATATCCAACTACAGGAGTGAGTTGCATCGCATAAATTTTCATTAGACGACCAAGTAATCCGGCTTCTCTGAATCTCACAACCGACGATACATTCGTTATTTTTCTTTAATTCGATACACATTACTCGAATACCGTGTAAGAACGATTAAATATCAAGACCAAGGATCACTGAAATATCTTCGTATTTTTTACCACCAATTACCTACGGAGGTGTTCAACCGGTGACAAATGACGGCAATGTGTTAACGACCCTTAAAAATTCACCGAGAAACGGCATTTTCCGGAATAACCCGTTCTGTCCATTTTCAGAGATTCCAACCGTAAGCACACAGTAAGCACGCCACAACACTTAAATCTTGATAAACGGGCGACTATTATGCTATTGCGCTCTCTCTTTAAGGAACCGGTACCTTCTGCTTCGATGCGATTTGTGATCGCGCCGACTCCTGTACAGTTTAGTGTCGCGAACTCGCCGGTTTTCCAGCCGTAGGAACAGTTTGATTTCTCGAAACGTCGAATCGTTGGTGGAAATTCGTACGAAGTATACAATATATGTATGTATACGTTAACACGTTGACTGCCAGCTACGAGATAACTCGTAGTTGAAACATTGCAAACATGCTGGATTATTTAAATACCTCTACAAAATTTTGACATAAGATTAATATCACAGTATAATTTAAAACAAGACAAGCAATCTCTATTAATCAAACGCATATATTTTCAAAGATTTATGTAGGGTAATTTTATATATGTATATGTGATATTCATTGTTTTGTATTCACTGCGAACGTCGTGTCGTTTTGCGTTCATTGCCGCCGTGAAAAGTTGAGTTGTTTATAACAAGAGGTAGTTTGTTGCATCTGTGAGAGAGACTGAGAGAGAATAATTTGGTTGTGAGTGCGAGAGAGAATAGAATGGATAATGTCAATGCCGACCATTTTTTAAGTAGTGTTTTTCTAGCAATAGAGAGGGACGGTATAGGAAACACGGATGGCATAATTTTGACGAACTATATTAATATATTTAATTATAGTGTTTCATATTGTATTTGTGAATTATAATATTAAAGTGTTTAATAAATTTATTATCCTGTTTCTACATAATTCTATTACCTCTGATCCTACATTTATGACTGAAAAAAACGAAATAAAGTGTGTCTAGCTACGTACGGCCTTTTTCACTGTGGCAGTGAACGTGTTAAATAACGATAAGACGAATAAAGCCTGTTGTTGTTAAACGATCCGTTAAAGACTTCTGTAGCACACGAACGGTTCAGACACTATTTCTCGAGTTACGGTAGCGAAGTTTAACCTTAAGCTGACAGTAATAGCCCTGTTTACACTCGCGCGAGATCTTTCAGTCTCGGAAACCCTGCTGATTTTATGCAATGTCATAGCCGCGAGAACAGTCGGCCGGCGCATGTGCTCGAACGCGTTAACAGTACTTCACCTGGCGGATTACGGCCAGGTGGTAAAGGTATTAGGGTATCCTCGAGGATGCGTCACCGTGCAGCACCGTGTCGGAGAACATTTGTCACGTCAACGGAATGGACGAACCGTTTTCTACCACCCTGTGCTGCCGTCGTTCCAATCGGGCAACTTTATAAATATCATGGCTTTCCCGTCATCAATTTCCACCAGTTTTCCTCGCCGCGCAAGAAACGGTACCAGTTTTACCAGTTTCGCGTAAACATTCGAGCTAAGCGCGTTGGAGATGCATTTCAAGCGTACACTCGTGAATTTCGTTCCCCAATGCGCGATCCGATCTGTGATGTCCGAGGTTCGTTCGCACATTAGTCAGTGGAACAGCCTATGGGAACGAGGCCCCTTCGACGCGTCGCGAAAAGGTTATCGGAATCATTGAACGGTCGCGGACAATCCGATTCCGACATCAAGACGGAAAAGTACAATTTCTTTCTCATGATTTTTTCACATCAATTAGAAGCGTTTAGCACAGACGCATCAACGAAAACGTAACCACCTGTTTAATGGGGTTCGACTCGCGACGGTGGCGTTAGGTAGGTATCTACTCGATAACCTAAACCAAGGGGTCAA